GTTGAGATGATAACTTATTATGTAACCAAAAATGAGTTTATTATGACAAATTAAAAATGGCCAGAGATTACAAATAATGCAGAAAATACAGGTAATAACAGAGTTTTACTTTAGGGAAGATTTTCACTAATTCTGATATTTTTCTAACTTACAACTCCTGAGAAGATTGTGTTGTTAATTTGTACTTTATTTTAATCAAATGTAGAAGCCACATCTTTTTTTAACGTTGAAGAGCTATCTTTCCTCCTCATCTGTCAGGTGATTTTTCTCTTTGATACCTTTGTTATTCTTAAGAATGAATTAGTTGTGTCTAAGGGTAATGGAATTCTTTGAAACTTTCTCTATAATGAAACAAATCAAAAGTTCTCTTAATGATGTAGAGATTTGGTACTCTGATTAATCAGTGTGAAAATTCAAGCAAGAGCCTTTCCATGTTTTGTTTAAAAGGAAACTGCTTTCAATGGGACACTGCAAAAAATCACTTGATGTCACTGAGATAGACAAACTTTGTAGTTGACAGATTCCTTTTTAAAAGGTAAAGTTTATTCATTTCATAGTGCTTTGCCTTCCTTAGTAATTGAAAAGTTTTCTCTCTTTTTTTCTGATTTAAAAATGTAATTTGGATTGATACTGGTAAGCTAAAGAAGTTCCAAATATATTCTAAAATCTCAAAAAAGCAAATGCTAATAAAACAAAAACTCTTTTGAATTAAGAGGAAAGAACCCAGATCTTTCCATTAAGACATAAATGTTCTTTTTTATACATTTTATATAAACTCATTGTCAATTTGAAGATAATTTACTACTCAGAAAAAGATGATTTGTTAAAACTACATTTTGATGACCAATAACTTTTTCTGGATCTTTTAATTCTTTCCTCAGATATATGTATATTGTGCCACATCTACTTATAACAAAAAAAGTTAATTTTTATTCTGGGAATTTTTTGAAACATCTCATCAATACTTTTTTTTAAAGTTAACAGTAAGAAAAAGATGGGGTGTTTACTTTTACACAATATAAGATGTTTCTATCATTTCACTTACTAATATGTTATAGTCAGGAGTAATCAGCTATTTCCCTTGTTAAATGAATGGAGTTTGAAAGGATTTTACACTACCATTGCAGTTCATACTTATCATCATGTTGCCTAGAGCCAGTGAATAAGCTTGAACAGGAGATTACTCAAGAATTGCTCTTGAAAAAAAGCTAATGTTTTTTAACAGGAGGCACCTTTGAGGTAGCGAATCCATATACAAACTGATAGGTATGCCACTAGACAATAAAAATCTGTGATTTCTGCTGAGAAAAACTGTTTTAGAGAAACCAGCAGGGATTACGGGGTGTTTGGGAAGAATACTATGAGAATTTTAAGTCCAAAAAAATTGCAAATCCAATTCCCACTGGAGGAAGTTCCTATTTATTTCTTTATATTCTATGGAAAGTACTATCCCCTATTGACATGGCAACCATAGCAAACATAGCAAATAAAGCTCTAAATTATAATAATGAGAGTTACCTGAAGGCAAGGACAGCACAACCAAACTTATCTTTGTAGTATAATTTGGTGCATATAGGAGACGTTCCATAGATATTTGTTAAGCTGAACCTGTATTGTCTTTGCGTAACATTATAAAGATTGAAAAATTTTTGAGAGTGTTGCTCATAAGAACCAAAAATGAGGTGACTTCAGTGCCTTGTGTTCTTGTGGAAGAATACCATCAATGTAACCCAGTGTACTCCTCTACCTTTTGGAGTCTTCATATTTAAAAATATCAAAATGTCTTGTGATTCAATATAAAGTAATATGAGTCTCTTCTACTTCACGGAATTGGAGATGGGAAATGTTAAGATGCTCCTACTGCAAGAAGTGATACTTCGCTTCTAATCTCTGATCTATAAAGACATGGACCAACTGTGAGTTTATAATAACAGATATTGATCTTAAGATACTAATTTTTAAAAATTAATTATAAACTTCCTTAGTTAAAGCAACTGAAAAAGACCATCATCATGATCCATTTCAGAATTACTTTCCAAAGAACTTGATTTCAAGTTAAGGAACAGCCAGAACCCATATCCTCTGTAAGTGTAAATGTTCTCAGTTATGTAATAGAACCCAAAATATTAAAGATTTTTCAACATCTCCCTGTCCCAAGCCCCTTTGAAGGAGATCTACACAATCTTTTCAGATTTGTTGTGCTACCTTTCCTATGCTGATGGGGATAACGTGTGATGTGATAGAAGCTGAGAGGAATAAAAAGACAGGCTGGGGATTAAAAACAGGGCTGAGAAGTCTTCGAAAATTTAATAAAAGAGGCGAAAAGAACTAACTCAGCGAAAATTATGAGATGAGATTTAACTGACTGCCTTGCAGAGCAGAAATCTGGCAGGAGAAGACACCAAAATACATTTTTAGGAAATGTGGTTGGGTGATACGTAAAATAATTCATTCTTCACCATCTCTTCTGAAGACTTTCTTTAGGGCCTTTGTTTTTCAAGGATCAGATTTGGATTTGTTTTCCATTCATGGGCTGAGATAAGTTTTAAGGCTGTTGCTGGAGGCATTTTTATTCAGGTTATACTTTGATAGATTTTAAAGAGTGATGCAAAGTGAAATAAGATGTCTTATTTTGATTATGGAATGTAGAACATTTATCACCAGTTGTAACTCAGTGCAGAAGTGCTGTAAGTCTTGATTTGTGTTAAACCACAAGAATTTTGCAATTTGATTGCTTTTTTGAATGATTTAAATACCTTATCTTGCTCCTTGATGGTACATTGTTTTTACATTTTTTTCCAAATATGACTTATATTATGAGATAAGGAGTTCACTCTAGACTGAAAATTGATCATTTAGAAAATAAAATGAAAATGATTTTTGACTGTCTGGTTTTAAAATCCAAAACACTCCCTCATTAGCATAGATGAAGACATTGAAAATAAAGTAGGTATATGAGCCTATATGCATATTTTAGGTATCAAAGATTATTCCTGAAGATTTGTGATTCATGGAAATTACTTATTTTCTTTTTATAATTAAGTTTTATGCTTTGCATATTAAAACAGATTTCGTTTCATATAAAATTTTCAAATGAATTTGGCATTTTAACTGTTAATATTCCTGGATATGGTAATACTCCTGGGATCATGGGGTCTATGACTAGTAGGCAGTAAATAAATAGATATCCTTATATTTTAATGTTTCTGTTTAATCTGGCACACATGTTTCAATCTTGCTGTAACCATGATGAAGTTCAAAGTTACATTTAAGATTATCATGCTTACAGTTCTGAAAAATAAAAATATAATTTAAAAGGAATTTTGAAGGAGGCATGACATGAGAGACAAAGCAAAAATGTCATTTTATGATATATAAAAAGATGCTAGAGAAAGAAAAAAAGAAGTACAAATTAACCAGATGTAAAACAGGATCATCAGGCATTTTAAAGAAAAAAAATTCTTAACAGAGAACTTTAACCTTGCAATCACTGAATGCTCATCCCATAGAAGTGTAAATAATTTAATAGAATTTATTTCAAGGTACACAGATGGTGCTGACAGAGTCCTGTGGAAGACCATATTATTCTATTCCTTATTTTTCTAAATACCTTTTTTGTATTATAAAAATAAATATATGATTAATAAATTTAATCTGTTTTATATCTGTTCTTATTTAATATATATTTGAAGATAGGTAAATATGGAAATTTTATATTTCTTCTAAATGTATCCAGATTTGTGTAAATGGATCAAGCAAACTGCAGAGAGTCTATGAGTGATGCACAACCATGTAGGTTGATGGCTGGAAAATGTGGCTAGCTATATCTGGCACACTTACATAAAAAGTGATGGATTTCCCATCCCTCCTACCTTTTTTGTGTATTATAAGAAATATCTAAAGACTCTTCCTCCTAGCTGTACACATTTGTTTTGAAATGAGAAGGATTAAGCTGTGGTAGACAAAAGCCAGGAGATAAGTCAGCAAAAGAAAATATGCAGAAGGGTCTAGTATAATGGGACAATCAACAAAATCTAAATATAAGAAAAAGTTAGGCTCCTTTATAAAACAAAAACACTACTATGACCAAGAAAAAGGAATTTAGATAGGAATTTGAGAATGTGGGTAGGGCACCATTATAGCTGAGATCCAATAAAAGCTAATTTATTAAATCAGCATTAGACAACCTACTCTGTTTTTTTCTTTCAACACATTTTACTTACTCTTCCACCTAAAACAGTAGACATTTTTTTAGTTTTACAGGGAGGCGCTGATTTTATAATTTAATTTGTTCATAAGATATAGCACTATTTTGATAAGCGGACTCAGCTTAAATCACTTAAAAACATATTCACCTTTTTTTATAGCCTCTCAGAAGATTATGACAACACCACACCTTAGCTGTGTTCTCATTTTTATGTTATTGTATGATGGACCCAGGTTGACACATTATGTTCATGCGTAAGATCTGTTTATATACTCTTTGGAGTATTCATACTTGTTCATGTAACTTATTTTTGCAAAGAAAACATAAGAATGCTTAAACTTGCAAAATGCACCAATACCAAATGGTCAGCCAGGTATGTTTATTTTCTTGGGCCACCATGTATCTATCCTAAAGTTCTGTTTATATTAAATTAATTAATATTTTTACATTAAATCTAAGGGTATAATTATGTATTTTATCCAAAGCAATTCTACTGAGAATGACTAATTTTCTCAGTGCCTTGATAATTACTTTTGCAAACTTGTGACAATGCACAAAGGGAAAAGTCATGGCTTTATCCCAAGCTTTCCTCTATGAAAACCATTAGATCGATGAAGTCACTCTTGGTCTTTCTATGGGTGGTCTTCATAAGGTAGTAGAGAAAAATACTACAGTTAGTAAAAAAATAAAAATAAATAAAATTAGAGGTGAAAAGCCTTTATACTACCACCTATTATGAAATATGTATGACACTATAAAGTTAATTTTTAAAAAATTGACAAACCCAGGCTCAGAAGATTTAAAAACACAGTATTTTTTCCTCCCTCCCTAACAACCCCCTTCTCACCATAGTCATACCTCACAAAAATTCATTACATGATATCACTGGTCATTTCTGCAAACAATTCTAATAATATCAGGCACCAACTGTAAAACTATTAAAAAAAAGTAACAATACAACCAATAGAGCTGAATATAATTATCTAAAAACCAAACATTTATGTCAGTTTGGAAGCTACTTGATCACAAAACCTGAAAGAAAGGTCAACTAGTTCGTTCTCATCTACCATCACACTCTACATACATCACTAAGGAAGCCCCAACTGGATAAATTCCTTTAGGTGAAGTCCGTGAACACTTCCCATATACTGCTTATACAAAATTACACATCCATGCTGAGTTATTTACCATTGCGTAGCAATAATCTTCAGTGGACCAGGGTTTTATTTGCAGGTTATTCATAGAGGATTTATGTAGCATGATTTTAAAATCCTGGTTGGAAGCATAAACATAAGTTGTGTGCCTATAGTCTGAACAGAAGACTGCAGTTTGTGAAGCAATGTTTGGAGAATCAGAAGAGAGGGAAGTAGAGAGGATATCGTTCATTTTAGAAATGCTGAGGCACAAAACACAGGTGCTTGTGGTACTTTCATACATGAAATCCCTTCTCCTGTATGTGCATCATGTGTAAACGTAAAGTCTGTATACTGCTGACTATGCGTCTCTGGTGTCCAATGAGTATGACTCCAATTCTTCTAATGTCACTGAGAGATCGAGAGAGCGAGAGAGAAAGGGAGAGAGAGAGAATATGAACATTTAGATCTGATAAGCATGTGAGATAAAATGACTATTTAGATGCATTAAATAAGCACCCTGCCACAGTGGCCAAAAATGGTGTAGCTTACTTGTTAAGCAGAGATCTAAATGAGCAGCAGAAGTTTATTATCTTTTTTCCTTTTCTCTGGATCCACAGAATGCATAATCTCATATGTAACAATCTATATTTTTCCATTTCATACACAGGTACTTATGCAATATTCAGATATTTCATAGGCCTACACCTGTATAATTTAGGTCATGATATACATTTGCAACAACATTAGCAAAACGGTGAGTATGTAGAATGGAAGGTATAATGTGAACTCCATTTGATTTCTCATGGATTTTTGATAATCTGGAAAAAATGCCCTTATGTTGTACTATATGTAACTGCCATTAGTGTCTTAAAATAATGGCAGTTTAATATGGTTCAACCGTTTAGTCTTTTAAGCACACATTAAGCATTTTCATTGCAGTAGAAAATGGTTGATCATTATAATATCTAGAAGGAGCTCTGAAAATAACATAATATTGCGTTGTTATAGAAATTGATTATGCAATATTAGTATATGTGAATAATAATTTGCCAAGGTAAAATTAACATAAAGCCTATGAATTGGATGACAGTAATATGCATTTTAGAAAACATTTAAAATATTTTAAATAGCTATTTGAATTAAATATATTCTTTCAAAGAATAATAGATAAAAGTGTAGTGTCCAACTTCCACTAGAATGATAGTCAGAAATGTGAGGAAAAGACTTGGAAATTACCTCCTAGCCTAAAGAAAGGTGTTTTAATATAGCATTTGAACTTATAATCCCCAGCAGGGCATCTAGTTACCTTAATAACCCTAGTATCACTTACTCAATGCTCATTCTTGAAATCAGGTCAAAAGTTGTAAATCCTGCCGCCATGAAGTTATTCTTGTATTGCCCCATCTTTATAGAATCTAGCCAATCACCAACCGTGACAAACAAAGGATATTCGGTAACTTCACCAGGGGACTCTGGCATTCTGTAAGAAAACAAAACAAAAAACAAAACAGAACAAAACATGGAGAGCATTTAAAGGCCAAATAAAGCAGGAATCATGGAATTTTCTTTTTCCTTTTACAATATTCTTAAATCTAATGTTTTTATTCCCCACTTAAAAGTCTCTGATTTTCTATCTTACTCAAATAAGTCACTTTAAAAAAAATATTTATCAAATCAGGCACTTACCTGATGGAACACTTTTGCCTTTTTGTGCTTTTTGCTAGTACTGGGCCTTACGCTGATTTTTTTTTCTTTTGAATTTTTATTTGATGGATCTTGAGAGAACTCAACATCTTGCCAGCTCCCTTGTTATTATTATTATTTTTTCTCTTGCATAAAATTCTGTTTTGAAACTTAAGGATCAGCTCATTCCCTATCCCCACAAGGAGGGTAACTAGCCACAGGATGTTCACTCTTCCCCGTTCTGACCTACCCCTGAATCCATGTCCTTTTCTACATTTGCTGTGATAATTCTTCTCCTTCTTCTGGTGAATTCATTGATCAAACTTCCATTTATTTGTTCTCAAACATTCAATAATAATGTAACTGTTGTTAAAATGTAATTTTTGTGTCATAGAGTTCAGTTGCATGAATAAGATTTACACACATACAAACAGAGGGTAATGTCCCCAAAACACAGATACTAATAAGGCACAAAACAACGCAAAATCAATGTTAGGTTGGATTAACAAGAAAATGGATCTTAAAGGCAATGATAGAGCAATCTTTATTTTTGTCTCTCAAATCTGATGCAAAGGGCAGTATAAAGGTATTACTTTGGAAAGGCTAGGGTACACATGTGCTTATATATACATACATACATGTATTTATATGCAATATGTATGAAATAGTTATATATAATAGCTTAAGTTAGAGAGAATAAAAACAGAATAAATCTTAGAAATTATGGTAAAAGTAACTCAGAATTGTGTATGTAAGCCATTCTGACAATAAATTGTATTCGTTTCTTTACATAATTACATAAAAATACACATTAATTTTGCATGTTTTAAAAAAACACTTGGTCGTAAAAGTGCTTTTATAGTATGTGAATGTGTTACTAAACTCTAGGGAAATAAATACATCATTTAAAGAATTCTTAGCTTTGTAATTTATATTAACTAGTAAAGCAGTAACAACCTTTAAGAAAAGTTTAGTGTTTAAGTTAAAACAATATATTCGAAGTAATGAAAAACTTCCTTATTAGAAGTGAATCATTTAGTTATTTTTATTAGACTATTGAAGTTAGTCCAACTTTCATTTACTTTGCTTTTTAAAGTTTCATAAAGTTAAAGAATGAAGGAGACAATCAGAACCATAGATTTTAATGTTCATATTTGGACTGTTTTATCAAAATGTTTTTACCGTTCACATTTGAACTACTTCAACTTTAGCAATTGATAAGCGCTGGGCACAGATGATTAAGCCTTGTGAAGTACCAGTTTCCCCACTGTGAAGCAGAAGATCATATACATGCTATATAACCTGGTATGGTTCTACTAATAACATGGGAATTGGGTCCTAAGGTTAATACTTAAGGTAAAAACTGAAATTTCCTAACCATCAAAATTACTCTTAAAAGTCCTTTAAATCACCCTAAAATCACCAGCTCCCCAGTCTTTTAGGAGCACAAGTTGTACATGGTATAACTCCTGAAGATTCTGAAGGGTGCCCCTTGGAATTCAGCACAAAGTCCCTAAGTAAAGGCCAAGAATTCATTTATTTGGTTTTCCTTTTATTACCACATTGATCGCCTTTCTCTAAACTGAGGTCTAGTTGAAGGTGGCGATACGCTGAACAGAGATGACAGATGACAGGGTGAGGTTGTACTCTTTATATACGATTGCAATTAAATTAAATGCGTATACCTTGTGATTGATTACACAGTACTCCATATTGGGTCTGGTTATCCTTAACAGTGACTTCTCTCCTTTTAAACACTACTCAATTCTATTACATTTCCTATTTGGAAGCTGTTAAGCTGCATTGTTTTCTCCTGTACTGCAGATTGCAATGCTATTTGATTGTGGGCTGTTTCATTCTAATTAACATCAAAATGATTCATGAGTTTACCTAAAACAAAGATCCGTCATGTTCAAAGATTGGACATTTATCACAGCATCTGCCAACAAATACTTGAATTGTTGCTGTATTTATTCAGTTTCCTAGAGGTGTTTATGTTAATGAATATTGTCAAATAAAAATTCACATGTAAAATACAAAATAATAAAGGTCTCCATGAAGACTGAAGCACATTTTTAAGTTGTAGCGTTTTTCAGAGTCTTCACTGCTCTAACGTGCACTGTAAATATCTAAGAGAATTCAGGATAGTTTCTACATTATTTTTCTAAATTATTTGACCAGTTTCATGGAATATATCATACTTAGCTGACCAAGGATAAATATAAAAATGACCAGGATATCCTTGTTGCTTATTAACATAAATAAACCCACACATGTTAGAAAACTGTCCTATTTCAAAACAACATGACCCTCATACCTTTTAAATGCTTGTCAAAGTAGTTTGTTGAAACTGAACAAAATTAAAAGAATGTATTAAAGTGACTTTTCCTTTATACTCCTATGCCATTCTCGATGCACCGACATAGTCAGATGGCTTCTACTTTTCTCTCCTGAGATGACACTGGAATAACTCTTGAAATTTCACAATTTCATATAATTGGTGAGTAGAAATGTAACTTGCTAATTTTATGTCCTTAGGACAGAAAAGTCATGAAAGGACACTCTGTATATTAAATGACTTAAATGGCGTCTCTCCCTTGTTGAAAAGCATCTACTATTTGCTTCCAGAATGTTTCAATACCATAATTCCCTTTCTCTCCACAGATCTTCAGTGACCTAGTTACTCTTTGGCCTTTATACGACTGCCTTGGCAGTTGATTTAGTAAGGTCAAGGTCCCCTCATTGTTCACAGCCATGGTGCAATAACTTTTCTTTCACCTTATCTTCTAAGGAAGTTGAAAAATGTTGCTATTTTCTGGCTTCGAGGGCTTCTGGGACCATTATCCTTACATGCATTCTCCGGAATATTGCCTAATAAACAATAAATGCCCTTTCTTATCAAACATGTACAGTGATAAATTTAGTTTGCTATGTGCTGAGCATGTAGAAATTTGTGCTATTTGGTGATTAGTGAATACTGCCCACCTGAGAAATATTACAGCAAAACCTGCAGCTCACGTTTTAAATACATCTTATAGAATAGAAGGTCAAGGATCAACCTTTTCTCAGAAAAATGAGAATGGGCTAGAATTAGGAAATTTCATGTATAATTGCAGTGAATTTAGATTATAGAAAGGTCAGGAGTCTAGGTATTATAAGTAATGTTGCAGTTTAAGGTGTAATAAATATGCAATTCCAATACAATAAAATATGTTAAAAATGAATAGCTCTGATGGGAGTCCAGAAGTTTTTGTTCCGATGAGCCCTTTGAGTTCACAATTATACTAACCTTTTAATTTGGAAGTTTCTTAGCTAAGTCATCAATATATTATCAATACTAACATTAAAGAGTGAGAAGTGTTTTATTCTCAAAAGTTCTCCATGTTTTATATTCATCATGTAAATATAAAATAGTAATAGACATACTAAAATGATTCAAGAAAAGTTATATTTTGAGAAACTCTATTGCAAGCTAAGATTCTGTTTTAAAATGACACTCTCATATGCTTAAAAGCTTTTTCTTCTCTTACTGCTCTAATACAGCTTCTTCTTTCCTAGGTCATTCATGTACATATGATTAGCAGAAATGTACAGACAGGGTCCATTTTATTTTATATTGCCTTTGTTTCACATATTCATGAATGTATGCCTTGTTTCAACAGTCTTCATATTCAAATGGGTGCATAGTATTCTATATGTGGATGCCTAATGACTTGCCAATTCTCTAAAGTTAAACTCTTAGATTGCTAACAGCACGCTTTTAGTAGACATGAGTACGTAGTCTTAGAGCATGTTTCTTTTTGTGTCAGTTGAATAACTTCTTTGGGAAAAATTCATAAGACAGAAGAATATTTTTTAAAGAATAAGGGAAAACTCCCTGATGGCAGGAACATATCTTTCTTTATGTAGGCACTCACGTAACACAGGAATTCATTAAACATAGAAATTCATTAAACACGTGATGACTCAGACTTGAATATTAAATTCTCTACAGAAAAGTTTGGTCCATAACATGATGGCTGATTCACAATGAATATTTTCATTTAATTCCAATAAATAAAAAACCTAGAAGAGTAAGTACCTGTTGATATAGTGGTCAACTTATTAAATAATATGCCGTTTATTCAAACTCTTCCTTGTCTTGTGAAAATGTTTGTTTATTCTGTCTTTATACGTTTCAGGGTGTAGAAAGAGGCCGTGTTAGGTGGAGTTGGGCAGCATAGGGTTAAGGTTTCACCTGCAATTATAACCAGACTTAGAGCCACAACAGCACACTGACGTCACTCAGGATGGCTGCTTTTACATGGGCTTCTCACTGCGTGACTCAGGGACTACACTTCATCCTACTTATTTAATCCAAGAAATAATTTTGTAATGCATACACTATCTACATACCCTTTGAAGAAAGAATTTACTTAATCATATATATTTTTAAAAGTCCTCTCTACAATTAAGCCTAACATTCAGTTTGAACACATTAAATAATGAAATAATTTTGATATTTAAAACATTTTCAAAGTGTAATTTTACTCAAAGGGCTATAACATCCCAAATGCATAGAAATATACTATATATATGGATATTTTGTGCTTGTTGGCAATATACATTTGTTTCAAAGAGTCTAACTCTCCACATTGTTAAGGACATTAATTATTTTTTGTCAGTCTTTTATTTTCAGTAAGTCTTCGATTGTTTTTTTTATTGATATGATTATTTAAATGTAATAAGGCTGATAACTAGTGGAAAATATGAAGGAATGAAAATTAAAATCTCAAAGCAAAATTTAAAGTTGTAGAT